TATATATATATATATATACACATTACATTTAAGCTTCATTTAAATTAACGAAAAACATTTTATTCATTTTAGTTTATTTCAAAAACCAAACTGCCTCTACTAATGAAAAACAGATCCAAAAATGTCAAGGCAGAATCACCCGCTGTGTCTCCATGTTTCATTCCTGAATGAATGAATCAGTGCTGTGAATTGGTTGAATGAATAATTCAATGACTCACTTGTAAAGACACTGGCTCAATTCAGAAAAGCATATTAGCATACTACTATTACAATTAGAAATAATAATGCTATGCTAGCATGCTATTCTGAATTCAGGCAGTCACTTGAATGAACAAACTAATAAATTAATGAATAAATCAGGTGCTGCGTCCAAATATGCCAACTTACATACTGTCCAAATTCATTGTATTTAAAAAACAGTAGATGAAATGTACCCAGATGATTTATCTACTTCTGCCACCTGAGATTCCGAAATGCATAATCAATGGACACTTTACTATCCCATGAAGCCACGGGAGAGGAGTTGAGAATGGCAGTGAATCGACATGTGACAGTGACAATATGGCGGAAGTAGTTCATCCAAATTTCTTTCATCATACTACTCATATTTACACTAGAACATACTTTTTTAATAGTCACAAAGTACATTTTAAGTAGGTAGATAAGTAGGTGATTTAGAATGCAGCTAGTGATTTGTGGACGAATCAGTTGCATAAATGATTCAAATGACTCATAAAGACAATGCCGTCGCCTACTTAATAATGATGCAACCTGCTGAAATAGTAACTGAAAAATCCCCACCACCAAAACAGACTGACAGTCTCAATAACTGTCAGTCGGTTTATTATGAATGAAAATGTGCAAGATGTGATTTCAAGCTCAACTATGAATGTTGCGTCTCCTTTACGCGTTTCAGAAATCTGGATTTGTCAAGACTAACATTGAATCATATCATCATATATATCATACTGTCTACATAAATGTTTAAACATTTCTGGCAATAACATGTTTGAGCATCACCCTCAAGCTTGTGCACGTATAGCGTATGCATTGAGGGAGGGGTGAACTTTCTGACCAATAAGAGCGATTACTTTCTAAAACAAAGCACTTTTGTCCTTATATTTCAGATTCAGTAACTGAAAATCCCCACCACCAAAACAGACTGACAGTCTCAATAACAGAATGATTTCTTAAGTATCATGTGAGGTTGAAGACTGGAGTAATGGCTGCTGAACATTCAACTTTGCCATCAAAAGAATAAATTACATTTTAAAATATATAAAAATAGAAAACAGTTCTTTAAAATTGTAATAATTTTTTACTCTATTTTTAAGGAAATAAATGCAGCCTTGGTGAGCTTGAGACACTTTTGACCAGTACAGCATATCTGATACAGTCTGATGCACATCCTGACAAAATATTCAACAGATTGCAAACAGCATATCTACTGCTGCTCCCTGCCCTGACTGCGACACCAGCAGATTCCCAGCAGCATGTGTGACTGACCTCTACTAGATGATTGTATCTCTTTGTGACAGCCAGATGCAGAGGGCCCATCATGGCGCCGTTGAGGATGTTGGGGTCAGCGCCCAGTTCCAGCAGTAACATGCAGCTCTGCTGTTGATCCTGCTCTACAGCCCAGTGCAGGGGAGTTCTCCCCTGCTCATCCTGTACATTCAGCTCTACACAGCAAGAAACACAAAATTTATATGGAGTGGTTGGTGCGTTCTAGACAGTAGGACATTGACTAAGCATTCAGAGGTAAGCAATGTTTCAAAGCGACAAGTCCAAATACCTTAAGCGAAAAGGCACGATTAATGACTTAAAGGGGTCATCGGATGCAAAATTCACTTTACAAGTTGTTTGAACATAAATGTGTGTTGGAAGTGTGTGTACACATCCATCCTATAATGATAAAAATCCACCCAGTGTTTTTTTTTTAAATCCCTATTTTAAAATCCCCTTTCTCAAATCAGGCTGTTCTGAGATTCCTGTCAGAATGACGTAGTTCTGCACAGGCCCCTCCCACGATAGTTGATTGACACTAGTGTCTTACCTTTGACCTGCCCTGAGTGAGCTGTCATCAGTCCGCCCTTGTGTCGACTCCGGTGCAGGGGAAGACAAGAACGTCTCCGATTAGGCGATTGAGGTGTTTTGTTGTTGGATGTAATAATGAACATATCAACTTGTAGAAAATGGGCATCCGATGACCCCTTTAAAAAAAAATTTAATGCTACAATTAAAAAAAAAAAAAAATTTGTTAGACTGATTCATTAAGGATATGTTTTAATTAAGAAATGTTTAAAAAAATACTATGCAATTGTGAGCATGTCACGTGAATAATAATAATAATAACAATAACAATAATTTGCAAAAATATGAATGAAAATGCGCAAGGTGTGATTTCAAGCTCAACTATATGGGCCATGTTGAGCCTCCTTTATGTGTTTCAGAAATCTGTATTTGTCAAGACTAACATTGAAAACAGATACTATAGTGTACATATTTTAATATTGTCCACATAAATGTTGAAATTTTTTTGGCGATAACATGACATGAAGTCCCTTTCAAAGAAAGTCTGTTCACTCGGTGGCCATATTTGCAATGCCTCGGGGCAGCTCAAACAAGACCAAGTCCTATCTAAATAATTGGGGGAATCCTGAAATCTCAAAAACTGCTCGCTGAACTCGCAAGGTATTTTGATGTCATACACCGATCGGTCTGCACACGCAAACAAAGCCAAAACCTAGATATTTTAGGCAATATAGAAATCCTGGCCAGGACGCGTCCTGGGAAAATGGCACGTATGGTCACCCTAGTTAACCACAGACCTTATCTCAGGTGAAAAACAAACAAACAAAAAAATGTTAACTCATTTTCAGGTTTTGGCTTACAAAACATTTTGGCTTTTTTGCTCATTTTGGTTTTGGCTTACAGTCATCCCCACAGCACTATTGTGAATACTATTGTTAATTTTGGTAACACTTTATTGTTATTGTCCACTTTAGACATTAAGAGTAAGTAACTTTGCAACTAGCAGTCATTAGAGTATTGGTAGATTGTCTGCTTAATATCTTCTAACATTTTATTTTGATGGGTCCACAACATACAACATACTGACTAAACTTTGCAAGTATATGTAAACTTATTCTACTAACCCTAAACCTAACCTAACAGTCTACTCTGATCACATTTAATTACACCAAATACACAAAATAATGTTCTTTTTAGCAGCATCATATGACCCCTTTAAAAAGCTTATTTTTCAGGCTAGACTAGCCAATGCGCATGAGCAGTTATAATGCGCTTAACACTGCGCACGCAGCTTATAACGGCCGCTGCAGTGACGCAATGACTTTACCAATCAGCGATTGGCTCTTTCATTTAGAAGGCAGGACTTTTCCACCATATTGTGTGTTGCAGTTTCTCCCATTCATAAGTATAGGACTGAACCGCCTTTGTATTTCTATAGTCTTTGGCATCACTCGCCCTCAAGCTTTTGCACGTATAGCGTATGCATTGAGGGAAGGGTGAACTCTCTGACCAATAAGAGTGATTGCTTTCTAAAACAAAGCAAACACTTTTGTCCTTGTATTTCAGATTCAGTTAAAACTGTTAAAAAGGGCATTTTTGATTTAACATATACTGTAGGTTGTAATAAAATTAATAAATAATTTTAGACAAGGCATATTTTCTATATGCAAACTATATGGAATCTAAAAAATATTTGAAGCACTTCAGGTTTACGCCCTGGTTCTGTCTGAATACAGATCATTTTGTCATTGAGACAATTACAGAATATGGGTTTCCTGCATTGACATAGTGTGTCACATTTAAATGACATATTTTGCATCTCTCCTCTGATTGGCTAAAAAGATGATAATCCACCCAACATTCTGTCATATTCAAATTCCAGCTTTTTGTAATATTTTGTGAATTGTTCAACCTAAACACTACCTACCTTACTTATTGTAGCTGGTTTAAGCTGGTTTAACTGGTCTCCCAGCCTGGCAAACCTGGTGTTTAGTGTGATTTTCCCCCCAAACCAGTTAAGCCCCAAAAATTTGATTGTCTAATTCAATCACTGAGTCACCTTTCAAGACAAGTTCAGACTTAATTGATTAATTTCAGAGTTCAGAAAAATGTCATGAATGGATTTCATGACAAACAGTTATGCTGGATAGGGTGTAGGTTAGAGTTAGGGGTTAGTATTTGGTTCAGCATTGTGCGCACAATCAGCACTGTGGTTGACACGACCATTGAAATCTTTAGAATTGGCTGATGGGCGGTGTTTGCACTTTTTTTCCTGTATGACATGTATTTAGCTGGTTTGTCAACTCATCTGCCATTCTAACCAGCTAACAAGTGCCTAAACACAGACCAAACTGATCATCTTATACAATCTGGGAGACCAGCTTCCCACCTTGGGCTGGTTTGTTTATTTCAGCAGGATATTGCTCTGTAATTGATGTAATTAGGAAGAGAAATGTGCACTCTGAATATCATTTGGTCTTTTTCCATCGTAGTGAGTGAACTGGTGGCTCTGTTCTGTCGATGATTTATTGAAGTACTGCGATCACAATAAGCCTCCCCGTGACGTAAGTGTGTGATCCCTGGGGAGATTATGTGATAGTTTTATAATCATTAGAACATAATGAGACATTGACCTGATGTGATCTGAATAGCAAAAGACTGAGGTGAATAAGCAAAACCTAAGAACAAGGCCTTCAAAACACATCTATACCGTATATTTACAATGCAATTAGTGCAAAACAAAGTCTCAAGTGTAATTTCTCAAAATATGTTGTTTGTTATGATGGTTAAAATGTCATTTTATGCAGATTAAGTAGATGATTTATTTGCTGCCTCAAAGTTGGATGCAGTTGCTTATTTCCTAGAACTGGATCCCAAGCCTTAAAGTTAATTTTTTTTCTGTTCCAAATCTAGTGTTATCTACAAACTGTCAGTTAAATTTCTGGGGTGTCATATTTTCATTTAAAATGAACATGTCAGAGTTTGGTGTTTTCTGGACTTCCAACAACTCTTTCAGTCTTTAGATGAGTTTACCTGTTCAGCGCGGCAACTTTTAATGTCCCTGACAACTTTGTAGTACCATTTAGCCATTTAGCAACTTAGCCACTTAGCAAACGCCTTTTTAAGATGAGTAAAAGCTTTTAAAAGATCACTCGGCGGTATCGTGTTTTATGTTGTAGAATAAAATGTGGAAATATCTTTAGCTTGTGTTAACCTAGGGTGACTATACGTGCCATTTTCCCAGGACACGTCCTGGCCAGGAAAACTTATTCTACTAACCCTAAACCTAACCTAACAGTCTACTCTGATACTTAGTAGACATGTAGTTGCAAATTAATGAGAATTAGTTGACATGTAGTTGCAAAGTTACTTATAGTTAGTAGAATGTATAAAGTGGACTATGAAAATAAAGTGTAACATTATTATTATTTTTTTTTTTTTACTTTTTTTTTTTTTGAGCTTGTAATTTTCAGCCAAAATATCATAACTCCATCTTCTGGTGAAACGACAGACTTATTTCCTTTGACAGAACTTCTCCAGTCATATAGTCCACTTAAACCTGACCCATTTCTTTTGTCACATTCAGATTTACTCCTATCCATTCAACAACCGATGGTTAAACCAAAGTCACAGCTCGACATTTTTTCCTTTTTTGGTAATCTGTTTCACTCAGATGTGTCACAATACAGAAATAAAGACCAGTCGCTACTTTCTTTACATCGCAAATGTACAACCTTGTCAAGGAGTAAGTCTTACCCTCAGGGCCCACGACAGAAACAATGAGGCGAATTATGTCCACGTTTCCTCCGGCTGAAGCATAGTGTAGTGGACTAGCTCCATTTTCATCCCTGAAGCTTAGCTGTTCCGGACTTTTCCGGCTCCGGTGGTCGATGGCAAAGGCCTTCCCTTTGAAAGCCAACTGGCAAGAGGAAAAGATTATGGAAGCATCTTGCCAAGGTAAGGAGGTGAAGCACAATGTAATATAAGTCAGATTCACTTCAACCAATTGCTATTGTACCGGATCATCTTCCGTAAATATTTGTACTCCCCTCCACCCCCAGCTCTCCAAAACACATACAGTGTATAAGAGAAATGTCTCGGTTCACGCTGTGATCAGCAGCAGCTGGATGCAATAATCGCATGCCAATGTGCATTGGCTCGTTTAGTTTACACTCGAAGTAGATTGGTCTCTCTAAGCGAGAGCCCCAATTCGTCAGTCATCCGACGTGACGTCGAGAGTGACCGACTGAAAGGGAACAACACCCACCTCAAACACATCTGCAGAATCCAGGTCTGTTTCCTCCTCATTTATCACACATTTGTAGAAGCTGTTTTGCCTCACAAACTCCTTTCCAATCTGCATTTGGTGAGCTTAGTGAGGATATTCTGTAAGGACAAGTCAGTCGTTGATATTAATAACATTGTTTGTGTTTGCTTTAACGGCTGCTTTTGTGTGCTGAGGCTCAAGGTTGAACTGGGAGAAGGTGATTGGACCTGCACACACTAACCTCGCCACAAGGTGAGAGTGACAGCGATGCCAGCCTGCCATGCAAATTCTCAGAGCCTGTGAGTGTGAGTAAAGCATTATAGCAATAAAGCCATTGTAACGGATGGTGAAGCTTTAAAAGTGCCTCTCACACATATTAGTGTAAGTCTAACAGAGAAAAGTATGAAGCTATACAAGAAGTAATATTTTGTGGCACATCGCCTGAGGTGTTCAGGCCATTTGGCACACATAATATGCATAAAACAAAACAATGACACCTCCACTTGAGTGAATCTGTCTACTTAAAATGACGACTGGCTTCTTTATTGAGGGCGGAATTGCTTTTTGAAAGTGTGAGTCGAGATTCATTATTTCTTTTGTATTTTTTTGGAGTTTTTACCATGGCGCAGAGATTACTCTCACATTATTAAGCTTGAATATCCACATTGTCCTGCTTTAAACTAGCATGACCATTGAATATATTAAATTTAGATTCAAAGTTATAGATTGTGAGGAAGAACTGAACTTAATTCAAACTATTCGACCTACTGTAAGTGCAACAGAATATGCCTGTTTTTGCTGTGTTGAATTACAGTCGAGCAACCCATTTGAAAATTTAGCAGTATATATATATATATATATAAATTATATACTTTATTTTTGTTATCAGAATATTTATCTGATATAAACACATATAAACATATAAAACAATTATACTAATACAACTTTAAAACAAACAACTTAATAGCGTAACTGGGCCAAAAAGTCAGGTGTGTTGAGGCAAGTTGGAGCTAATGGTGCGTTCAAGTCATGTCGGGTAGATCGTATTTACGAGTTGAACGCACATGAACGCCACCACAAAGTCGTTATTACGAGTGGGAAACTCGAAATTTTCTTTAAGCCCCGAGTTTCCAAGTTGGGGGCGTGTCAATGAGAAACATGGCGGAATCGATGGATGCAACGTCTGTAGTTGACAGTACATTTTTGTTTAAATTGATAGTTTTGTAATATAACAATTAATACGTTTTTATGCAATACAGATTAAAGTGGCTTCATAAATTACTTTTTAAAAATATTAAAAACGCAAAACACACCTGATGCGAATTCTTTGCTCTTCATTTTCTATAAGCAGAGTTAACAGACCCTGTTGTATTTTCTTGTAATTTATTAAAAGAAGGTACACCGCCATCTTGTGCCGATTAAACTGACTTGAACGCACCTGACGTCGTAATTACGACTTGTCAACTCGTAAGTACGAACGTCCCAAGAGGACTTGAACGCAGCATAATATGTTGATTTGATGCTCAAGAAACATTTCTTATTATCAGTGTTGAAAACAGTTACTGCTTAATGTTTTTTTGCGGAAACCAGCATTTAAGGATTCTTTGATGAACAGAAAGTTCAAAAGAAAAGCATTTACTTTTAATAGAAATATTTTGTAACCTTATAGATGTCTTTATTGTCACTTCTGATCAATCTAATGATGAACAAAAAGTATTAATTTATTTCAAAAAATCTTTTTGACCCCATTGCAAAATATAATCAGTATAACAAAATTATGTTTGCTATCAGAGTAGCATTTAGCTATACAAAACATAAACACAGAAAAATAGAAGATACATTCACACTATAATTCAAAATGAACTAATCTAGATAAAACAACTTTATATACATTAATATAACATTTTTTTTGTTCAACCAAATGTTCAGTAGAGCAAAAATTGTCCCTCTTTTGAATACCACCAACTTTTGACTAGCAAATATTAGGTCACGGCTCATGGCCATGATGTAAACTAAAGGCTTTTGGCTATTTATTTTTTTTTTTTTTTAACAGGTTCATGGAAATGAACAATCCAAAGAAACTGATTTACTAAAATGATTTTCTATATGAGAGTAATCATGAAAGTTAGCAAATAGTAACAAAGTTAACATGAAAAATTTAATATGTTGTCATGTTGTACATTTATGACAGCATCCACATGTTTTTAAATTCAGATTGAAGCAATGTAGTCTTCATCTTTTGTGTAAGACCATTCTTGGAAAACTGTCCAATTTAGGAAGTTTCTCATAGAAAATCTCATTTCAATCCAAATGCATTGTATCCTCTGTCAGATAAGTGCACTAATTGATGGATTTCCGTCTGTGTAATTTGCAGCAGACACAGTGTATACAGGAAGTCTTTTTATTTTCAAGATGAAGCACTAAAGATGGTTGCCAAGCTCTGAGCAAACACTGCTAAATGAGACAGACCCGGGCTGCTATAAACGCAGCAGTCTGTTCTTGGAATATGGCCCATCGCACAGGTGTGCAGAGATGCAGATTGTTTTCTTTTGTTTTTGTTGTCATCAAATCAGTTTTAAAGTCATCTAACAATTCACAACATATAATAGAGGAGATTTGTTATTAAAAACTTGTCAAAGTATAAGCAACAGTAAATCATCATAATAAATAAATATATAAAATAAATATATAAAAAAAATAATAAAACCTTTTATTATTCACAATAGTCACTTGAAAAATGAAAAACAAAACACAAGTGAAATTAGCCAAATGTTTTATCAAAAATATATATTTAGCTTAAAATCCATAACAAATCATACAGCACCGGGCTGTACTTAAATAGAATATAAAGGCATATAATGGCACATTTAATAATTGCAACTGAACATATATTAATCATATATCAAAATATCTCTGTTCTGTACCACATGCATCACAAACTACTTATTAAAATGGTTGTTTATTAGATGCCATAAAGAAAAGGAACTCTTTCCTACCTAGATGATGTGTCTGCTGAGCAGTTGAGCGCTGTGGTCTTGCTCTCTCTCAATATGAAGTGAGTTATATACTGTGTTGGTTGAAGGAGATCCAGTTACAGTGGCTCTCACTCAGAGGTAATGTCATCTGATGCAATCATTAAAGGCCATGCTAATTTGACATGAGATTTTAGTACTTCAAAATGCTTATGGTAAATGTAAAACGTCTGGACAATGGCCTGTGGTTTCATGTGTTTTATTACTTCCCAGAACTGAAAAAATGAATTGTTTTTTTTTTTTTAAAAAGGAAGAAGTGCACTTTCTTGTGGCTTCCCTCAGAGTAGATTAAAGTTTCAAAAATATGGATTTTTGTTTTGTCTTTGGTTAAACCCTTGCATTATTTAAAAGGTAAAACTAGAAAAGTTGTACGAATAATATTTTTGATGACCCCCCCATTGTTTGTAGCTTTCACATATTAAAATGATTAGGTTATAGAACATAGTAAATGGAATAGAATATACATATAATCTAATTTAAGTATTACAATAATATAATACTTACAGAGTGTGTTAGCTTTAAAGTTAATGACACAAAATTATATTTTTTATGAATTCTTCGAGACAAGTATGCATAATATATGTGGATACAAGCAGTTTGATGGTAAATCTAACATGTAGCTCACTGCAGGTATAAAATAATTTTATAGTGCAGATTATTAACATAATCACCCGTCCATTTGGGACGTCAGTGTCAATGTACTAACCAAACTACTAGCAAAAAGCTTTGCCCAGAGTGCTCTCTGCTCTCCCAGGATTCACAATTATGTAGATATAAAGCTGATAATGCTCAGTTCCTGAGTCTTTTAAAAAGTAGTTTCAAAGACATTTGGGGGTTGTGGAGGAGTTTTCACATGACAATCTCTACAAGAGTTAAGATCATGTTTCATTGTTCTGTGAAAAGCATTACATACAGTCCAACTGGCCTATTACAGTATAAAGGCACTTAGTAATGTGCTATGGGTCAGTAAGGACAACTGGGAACATTTATCAGAACATGAGTGATATTTAAAGCCTGTGAGATGGGAGGTTGGGAAAAATGGTATGTTTAATTGTCATTAGGAAAATTGGACTTCTAGGATAGTGCCTATCACGTGGATCTTTACGAAAGGAACATTGCACCTTTTATGGTGTTCATTGTGATTTTATTTGCTTTGTGGTGAGGATACTAATGTAGAGTAATTAAACTGTCAGGAAATTACTGAAATATGACCTTGGGGAAGGCAAACATGCAGGCATGGTTTTGCACATGCTCATGACAGGTGTTTCCAGAAAACCCAACAGATATTTAATACACACCAGCTAAGCTAATAAGAGCCTCTGAAACAGAGTCTCTAACATGGGACACTATGGATACCAAGGGTTGTTTGTTTTTAATTAAAACTAACGGACAACTTCTTTCTTTCTTTCTTTCTTTCTTTCTTTCTTTTTTAAATACAAAACATGAAAACATGAATTAATATTTATTAGTTTATCATACTAAATATTAGTTTTTTATAACAAATTTATTATGTTTATGTGTTTAGGATACATAATAAATTAGATACGAATTTAGAATTAGGAAGACAACTGATTCAGCAATTTTATACCAAATACCATAGGATGTTATTAACACATAATTTAAAATGCAGTGGAAATCACATTTTAACAGGATTTTTTTTTCACCTTACAGGAATATAGTGCATCATTTACAAACAAGTTCAAATTGTTCCATATAAAAATTGTACAAATATTTTTAATACAAAAATTTTAATTTTATTTTAATTACTTCATAATATTAAATGTTAGGTTATTAATATTAAATATGCATAACATATTAGGTTTGTGTATTTAGGATACATAATATACTCTATATGAAATTAAAATTAGAATTGCAAGAAAAATCAGACAGCAATTGTATACCAAGTAGCTCAGGATGTTATCGTACACAATTGAAGATTCAGTCTTAAACTATGTTTCAAAGGAAAGCAATTCTCCTGTGATGGGCATTGGTTGCTTCCTGTTTATTATAACAATCACAATCTCTCATTTTAAATGATAAATGAGATACAAACATTTGAATGGACTTGAAGTGGAATGGATGGATAC